GTGTCAGGGCAGGGCAGGGGTGAGACTTGGGTTCTAGCCCAGGCTCCTCCCCTCGGGCCAGGGTGCTAATGACTCTCTCCCTCCTGCTGCCAGCGGCCCCATCGGCCCCATCGCTGAAACCCCAGGTGCTTTTCTCTTTCGGAAACTTTGTATGTGGTGGTTTTGTGGTTAAGAGAAAATGACTCTCCTCATGAAAGGTCCCCTGGCAGGCCCCTGGGCTGGGCTGGCAGGCCCCACCGTAGTTTCTCTGGGAAAGTAGCCCCTGGGAGCTACTGTGACTCGGACCAACTTTCCCCAAAGTGAGAGCAGCCCTATTTTGCTCAGGTGTGAGCTGCTGCGCCGCCGGGACCCCCACCCGCTGTGAATGAGAACAGCTTTGCTCCGTCAGCAGAATCCAGGTCTGCAGGTGTCATTGCTTCCCTGGGAGCTCTGGGAGGTGGCAGCCAACAGGCACCAGGCCTGCTGGCCACGGGCCCCCAGACTGTGCCCGCCCGGCTTGTGGGCTGTTCACGGGGAGCGGTGAGTTCTGCACAGTCCCACCCCCAGGCCTGCTTTGGGCCGTCCAGCAGGGATCGCTCACGGCCTCTCAACGAAGCAGCCGCTCACTCCTCTTCTGGGGAACTGGCCCTGGCATTGGAGCCTCTCAGTCCTCACTCGCCCCATTAGCATTTGTTTTCCGATGTCATTTTGGCAGATGCTACGTTCCTGCTGGGGCTACAAAAACGTATGATGTGTTCATTTATTTATTCAACAAAGGTTTTACAATAGCCAACCGTGGGCCAGGTGCTGTGCTGGGTCCTGGGGATCTGGCGCTGAGCAAGCCCTAGCTGGTTTGGCTCAGTGGATAGAGTGTTGGCCTGCGGACTGAGGGGTCCCGGGTTCGATTCCTATCAAGGGCACAGGTCCAGATTGCAGGCTTGATCCCCAGTAGGGGGCGTGCAGGAGGCAGCCAATCAATGATTCTCTCTCATCATTCATGTTTCTCTCTCTCTCTCTTCCTCTCCCTCTGTCTCTAAAATAAATAAAAATATATTTTAAAAAATAATTCAACACACACACAAAACCACACAAAACAAACAAACAAACAAAAACCACAGACCAGGCACCTGGCCTCATGGAGTTTCCAGTCGAAAGAAGGAAGCAGACAAAAGGAATATGTAAGAACTTCGATTTGTGATCTGATGGAGGAGCAGGCAGGGGGCTAAGAAGTAGGGCTGGAGGGCTGGGGGAAGGCTTCCTGGAGGGATGGATGTCTAAGCTGCGCCTAGAGAACCTTTTGGCAGAGGGCCTGGTGGCTGACAGGGCGGGGGCGGCTGAACTAGAGAGAGCCCCAAACGCCGGCTCACTGCCGAGGCCAGCTTGGCGGGTCATGATGTTGACCTGTGACGGCCCAAGGCTTGTGCTGAATGGATGCTATTAATCAGCTCCCAGGGTCACGGCCCTGGAAACGCTCATGCGTGGCGATGGCCTTCACGGCTGCTGCAGCTTGTGCCAGCAGCCCGGCCTCTCGGGTTAATGTGGAAAAGAATTTGACTTATTTGATGTGTTGCCCTGTCTTTAGTCAGCTCTTTGAAGCTGTGGTTTGAGAGCAGTTTGGAGTGGAGGGAAGGTCTGGCTGTGAAAAACATTTTAACGTGTTCCCTTGGCTCCTTCCTTGCTGATGACTTCCGAGCACATGCTGCGTGCCACGTGCAGTAAGAGGCATGTGGGGACAGTCAGAGGGAGGTAGACACCGCCCCTGCCCTGATGTATAATAATAGGGTGATCCACTAGCCTAGTCATTGGCGGGTTCCCATACTATAGTTCAGTCCTCCCAGGGGACCAGGAATGAGCTGGGTATTATCATTCCTGTTGTGCAGGTGAGAGAACCAAGCTCAGAAACATGAATGAGGTCACACAACTGGCAAACGGCAGAACCTGGATTTGAACTCGGATTCAAGCCTGTTCTGTGTCCGCTGCCCTGGGAGCTCTTGTCTGTTCAGAAGCTCTATTCTGAGACCGGCTGTGACAGGGGCTGCCATGGCGACGCAGACAGCCCGCTGGGAGGGGAGACAGGAACTCTAATCAGGCCCGGGGAAGTCTTGCCGGGGCCAAGGACACTGTGGCTGGCGGAGGGAGGGACTTCTGGCCAGAGCAGACAGCTGGAGCAGAGGCCCAGTGTGAGAAATAGTATTTTCTAGGCGAGTGTGTGCTTGGAGGGCTGGGTGGGCCAGGGGTGGAGCGGAGATGAGCCTAGAAGAAGAGAAGGTTGGGGCCTCTGGTCACACTGGGGAGGGATGGACCAGAACGGGGTGAGGCTGGGTATGTGGCATGAGCACCTCAGCATAGTTCTTCAGGATGCAAGAGGCATCTGTGTCTTCACACTTCTGAGCTCCATGCTCTGAAGATGATCCAGGGGCTTGGGACCCACAATGGGACACCAGATAAACTTCTTGTGTGGCAACCTGGGAGTTGCCAGCCTCGGCGGAGAACGTCTGATTAGTAATGTCTGCTCTGGGTACGCAGGGGCCCAGAGTGCAGGCACGGAGAGCAGCCCTGGGTTTGCCTCTGTCTAGGTTTCACTCAACATAGAAACCGTGCAGCTGAGTGAGATTATTTCTGTTCCGACTCCGTGTTCCCTCTCTAGCAAGCGTCCTCACTTGCCACTGAGCCCACTGAAGGCAGCCGGATTTAGCAGAGGTCAGGGCCGTGCGAGCAGGCCAGGGCCCCTGAGTCTAGCAGGTTGTGAGCTTGGGACCAAACAGGTTTCTGGGGGAGATCTCAGAAAGGCCGCTGCAGAAGCGATGGTTTTGTTGTCGTGATGGGTCTCTTCTCACGCCTCGCATCCCTCCAGCACAAGGAGTCTGTGGGGAGAATTCTGGGGGTTCATGAATGTGGGGTGGAAAGTTACTACCTTCATTTTCAGTGTGTTTGTTCCATTTGGATGGAGGCGACAAGGCCCAGTTGTCCAAGCAGATCTGTGTGACTCGGTCACCAGTGGAAATCACAGCTGTTTCCATATCACGTTACAGTGGTGGAGCCGCCTGGCATAGCACAACCTCAGCGCTATGCTCACCGGGAGGCCCGCCGCTTTCATAAAGAAGCTTCTAGTGCCCTGTCGCTACCTTATGTAATGTTTTGAGACGTGTATTTACATGTCATCGGTTTCCTTTTATGATCCTCAGTGTTTTGTTCTACACACTTAAAAGCATTATTCTCAGAGATACGGACCTCCCCGCACTGCCAAAGGAGCCCCTGGTACAAAAATAAATCAAGAACTCCTCTTTGGACATAGGGGGTTTCCTAGACATTTGACATTTAAATTACAGTGATCATTAACTGCTTGTTAGTACTGTGACTGTGCTGTTTAGAGAAACGTAGGGAGATACACACAGATGGAAGATAAAGGAGTGCGCATTCGCGTCACGACCCTTTGCGGGGTAGGAGGACCGGAAGTGGCTCCGAGGGCAGGGCTTCTGTACAGGCTTTGGAGGTGGTGCTTGCCGCTGGGGGAAGCCGGAAGTCACCAGTATGAGGCCAGCGGAGTCTGGTCAACCTCTCGGCAGTTCTCACTGGGTCCAGGGGTCACTTGATCTCAGCCAAGCCGGTGCGTCCATTTCCATCTACTGGAGTCCATCCCCCCTTCTTCTTATTTATTTTTATTTTTTTTATTATTAATTTCTTTATTGATTAAGGTACCACATATTTGTCCTCAACCCCCCATTCCAATCCCTCCCCACTCATGCCCCCACACTCCCTATTGTCCTCAACCACTGGTTAGGCTCATACGTGTGCACATAAGTCCTTTGGTTGATCTCTCCCTTTTATCCTCACCCTCCCTCTGAGGTCCAACAGTCTGACCCATGGCTCCTTATCTCCGGGTCTGTTCTTGTTCATCAGTCTATGTTGTTCACCATCTCCCCTAGATGAGTGAGATCATGTCCTACTGGAAATATAAGAATAAAAAACGAGACAAGCGCCGAAACCGGTTTGGCTCAGTGGTAGAGCGTTGGTCTGCGGACTAAAAGGTCCCGGGTTCGGTTCCGGTCAAGGGCATGTACCTTGGTTGCGGGCGCATCCCCGGTGGGGGGTGTGCAAGAGGCAGCTGGTCGATGTTTCTCTCTCATCGACGTTTCTAGCTCTCTGTCTCTCTCCCTTCCTCTCTGTAAAAAATCAATAAAATATGAAAAAACGAAAAAACGAGACAAGCAATAATTGTTTTAATTGGCCCTGGGCTGTGCCCTCCCAGGTGGCGCCCAGTATCTGTCCAAGAGAGAGCATCAGGCTGACCTTACTTAAGCTTTTTATATTTGACATTTTAAGCGTACATTTCAGGGTGTGGGTCCTGAAAGCCTACTGTGGGCGCGAGTCATGGACCCTTACTCATGCCGCCATAGCACGCGTGGGCCAGGCACGCACGGAGCATTTTGTCTGTTTTATCGGGGAGGTTCTATTATTATCCCTGCTTTCTGGAGGAGGAACCTGAGGCCTTTCTGGGGGTGGGGTGTTAAGTAACTTGTGTAAGGTCTCAGGGGCAGCGTGTGCCTGAGCCCCCAGATCCCAGCCCAGGCAGTCTGATTCTGGGCCGGATGCATCCTAAGTGGGAGGTTACTCATGATCCTCAGACCCCCACATGGTCCATATCATCAATTACTAACCCTCCCCGCGCCCCCAACCTGACTTCCCTCCCTCAAACAGGAAGTCCTCTTCTGTTTTAACCCCGGTCTCTGTTCTGACCCGTCTTGCCCATTCCTCTCTGGGGATCGTGTCCCGAGCCTGAGGCATGTCAGCTCCCCTTGGGTCGGGTAGAGGGCTATGGGTGGTTTTCCAGGTTTCCTGCTGGCTCTCCCAGACCCTACCCCTCTTTTTCCTCCCCCACTTTCTGCTTCAGTACATCGCATGGCAGCAAAGGGGAATCCAGCAGGCTCCTGCTTGCCAGAGCTCCCTACTGTGTGTGCGCTCAGGGTGGCCATGAGCACGTGCCCTCAATGAACCGCCTTTCTCTTCTGGGTTCTCCGCAGGCAAAGCTGGTCCGGTATATTTGCAAGCAACGGCAGTGCAAGCTGAGCGTGGCTCCTGGTGAGAGGACCCCAGAGCTCGACAGCTACCCCCGCTTCAGTGACTGGCTGTACACCTTCAATGTGAGGCCGGAGGTGGCGCAGGTAAGCGGGCCACGGGGACTTGGGGCGGGGGCTGAGGTACGGGGTGAGTCAAGCAAAGGGACCACACGCAAACCCAAGGACGGAGGGGCCGTGCTGTCTGCTCTCAGAGGGGCCCCGCGCTAAATGTGGCTCTAGCCTGTGTCCTGGGTGCCACTGCCTTGTAAGTCCGGCGGCCTGACCACGCCGGTCATTCATTGGTTCACCATGAGGACAGCGGCCAACATTGCCGGAAACATTGGCCGTGCGACAGACACTGTGTTCAAACGCTTTGTAGAGATAAACTCACTTCGTTCTCACGAACGCTGTGAAAGAGCTGCTATCACCGTTGCCACTTCATCCCTGAAGAAACTCAAGCTCAGAAAGGGCTCAGTGACTTGTTTAGAACCATGCAGCTCGGAAGTGATAGATTTGGTGCCTTGGAAACAAGGGTCTGAGTTGAATTTTCTCCTGTGACTGCTGTAATATACTGTTTCCCTCACTGTGCTCCCTCTTCCCACCCATCTAACCAACCTACCCTCCTGCCAACTAACCAACTAACCAGCTAGTATTCATGGCAGCGTCCCCCTGAGAGGACAGCTCTCATGGGCATAAATAAATCAGTGCTTGGCAGGGGCAGATCTTAAATCCCTTCCTTCTAAAAGTAAAGATGGACTCTTGCCATTGTGCTAAAGTAACATGAATTCATTGTATGTAGACACTTAAAAAAACAGGAAGAGGGAGGAAAAATCACATTCATATTTCCACCACTTAGAGGAAGTCTGTGATCATTAAGACTTTGACATTTCTTTCTAGTCTTTTCTTTAATTTTTATTACTTAAGTCCTTTCACATATTCTAGTGGGTTAGACCTGTGCAGTCTGGTGAGGTAGTCACTAGGCAGTGTGGCTGTTATTGCTTGGCACCTAGCAAGTCCACACTGAGACGAGCTATAATGTCAAAGATATGAATTCCCAGATGTGCTGAGCCGAGCTGCATTCTGAAGACTTGGTCCAAAAAAAAAGAAAAAAGAAAAAAAGAAAGTAAACCACTTAATAACTTTTTATATTTAGTACATGTTAGTGACACAATTATGAATCTATTAAGTTAAAGAAAATCGTGATAAAATCAACTTTTACTTTTTAAAATACTTCTGCTCAAAACTGAAAATTTAAGGATGTGGCTTGCATTATATTTATGTTGGGAAGCACTGGTTTAAACCATCCTGAATAAGCATTTTTAGATTTTTGCTCTTATCATTGGATATGCTAATCAAGTTTCCCCCATATTTTCATACGTACCAGGAAGCCCCCCTTTCTTTAAGCGGCTGCATAATGTTTGATTGAATATATGTGATGTAGTTTACCAGATAGAGGTTAATTCCAGTTGTTGGTTATTATCTGTAGCACAGCGGTTAATATATTTATGAAGTTATTTGTATATTTAGGTATTTTCTCTAGGAGAGATTCCTGGACAGGAAGTGACATCAGCATAAAAGGTTGCGTTCACTGGTGGGAGATGTGGGTTCATGAGGGGCCCATAGGAGAGCTCTCCTCACCTTGCAGCTCCTGGCCTGGCCCCAGCGGCCCTCATATTTGTGGTCTATGCCAGCCTTTAAGAAGTTGGCAGGCAGGAGGTGGCCAGTGTGAAGGTTGAGGGAAACGGCTCTGTGAGATGGAGTTTCCTTGAGCGTTGTTAAATATGCATAGTGAGCTATGTCTCTCCATCCATCTCCTCGCCCACTGACCTCCTAACAGTTTTCTGCCATACATGAAGGAGCTCCGAACAGGTACTGGCTCATCCATGATCATAGATTTAAAAACCATGAACTTGGAGACTATAGAGATTTGAATGGTTCCTTTAGCCCCAGCCCAGCCTCAGCATGCACCCTCCCCTCCTCACATCCCTGAGACGGAAAGCAGTTCTTCTCACAACTCACAGTTGAGGACACCGAGGGCAGAGACTTGCCCAGCATCTCACCAACATCCTCCCTGCTCGTCAGACGAGGACCACTGGGTTTAGAGAGGCCGCTGGCTCTCCAAGGGTACCGGAGCTCATCGCAGGGACAGGTCAGGCCCAGGCCTGCTGGATGCCTTCTAACTCCTCGTCTTGGGCTTAAGTAAGACATCTTTGGCAGATGACATAGCTCCTTGAAGGGGTTCCCTTGGATTTCCAGAGATGCAAAGTGTGCAGGAGACTCAGGGGTGCCCAGGGCAGAAGCCAGCACCAGCATGGGAGGCCAGCGTCAGGGGCTGTTTGGCCCCTGGAGAGCCCTGTGGTGGCGCCCGGGACAGGGGTCCTCCCGTCAGACCCCGAGGCGTAGCGGGTACTGAGCCAGGTGATGTTTGCGTCACCAGGTCATGAGTGCTGCGTCGGAGCTGGGTGGTAAGTGAGGGGCAAGCTCCTTTGTATGCAGGGGTCCGGCAGGCGGGAGAGCCCCAAAGCCGCATGTGGTTGGGGAGCCAGTACGTTCCCCAGCGTGGAGGACTGGGGCGTCTGCGCAGAGAGCTCTGAGGGTTATGGGGAGATGGGAGTGATTAGGGATCATCTCCAGCTTCCTAGTGACCTCTCCAGTGACCTGGAGATCATGAGGCGGCTCAGAAACGAACATGTTTCAAGCAGAGCTCTTGCTTTTTCCCTTCCGTACGTTCGTAGAGGCACGTCGACTGGAGCTAGGCTAAGCGCCTGCCTCCCACCCCCTTTGTGTTCCAAAGGCCACACGAGGGCATCCTCGCCAGTGGGAGGGTGTGGGGAGCAGGAGGAGGGTGGGCCCAGGTGCCTGGGGGCAGCCAGCAGCTTCTGCCTGGGCTTCAGGAGCCACAGGAGCCATTGCCTGGTGCCACACCATCTTCCCCGAACAATCTCTCCAGACCCTTTTCCAAAAGATGCTCTGCATCTTCCCCTCACATCGCACATGGGTCTTGGGCCCCGGGCCAGACCATTGTGAAGGCTGGGAGAAGGGCTGTTTCCTTTAGTCATCCCAGCCCCTGCAGCGGGGAGGGGGCAGGGCTGCCTTTGCTGGGTTCTGCTCCTTGCACGTGCTGCTCCTTGCACCTGTCTGGGAGCACAGCACTGGGGCCCAGGGTTCGAGGGCTCCCCGGGAACACACCCCAGGTGTGGCTCTATTTTTTTAATGCAAACAGTGGACTCTGACTGACACCTACCCCACCCCACCCACCCACCCTCGGCCCTGATGGAGCCTGTGTGTTGTCAGTAAAAATTGATTCCAGCTGAAACCGGTTTGGCTCAGTGGATAGAGTGTCAGTCTACGGACTGAAGGGTCCTGGGTTTGATTCCGTGGTTGTAGGCACATCCCCAATAGGGGTTATGCAAGAGGCAGCTGATCGATGATTCTCTCTCATCGATGTTTTTAACTCTCTATCCCTCTCTCTTCCTCTCTGTAAAAAAAATCAATAAAATATATATATTTTTAAAAAATTGATTCCACCCATCAAAGATGGATGCAGATTTCAGAAACCAGCGTTCCAAACAGCATGAAAACCCAGGCCCTTCCAAAGTTGACCTCAGAGCTGGAATCCTTGGACTTCTGAGCAGAAGCCTACACCACTGTTTATTTTCTTAAATAACCACTTTGTTTTGGGAAAGTCCTAGGTTTGTAGGAAGGCTGCAGAGAGTCCGGTTCCCATGTAAACCCTTCACCCACTTTCCCGTCATCAGCATCATGCCCTCCCACTGTGTACTTGTCAATGCTAAGAAAACAGCGCTGATACATGACTGTTTACTAAGCTCTAAGATCTATTTGGATTTCACCAAGTTTTTCCAATCTAGGGCACCACGTGGTTTCCTATTGATGAATAAATAGGTATGTAAATATTGGTTTCCCTTTTTTGTTAGAGTTGCTAAAATGGGATCAAAGAATATAGATCCTTGTGTTGTTTTTAGTCTTAATCTCATCTTTCCGTTAGTCCGTACACATCCATCTCATTAGAGCGACTTCCCCAAGCTTATCCCAGGGATGACTGTGTTTGAGGCGTGCCCACCTGTGCACGCAGAGGCACACATAGATGGTCTGGCCTGTGCCCAGGAAAGGCTGGGTGCCCAGCAGCACGGCCCCTGGCCGTGGGGGAGCCCTTGGCAAGTGTTTGCTGGGGAAGGAGTTACGGAAAGTTGCCATGGAATGGAGGTGGGAGATATCAGGCTTTCAAACAGGGTCTCTTGCCCAGCTGGCATGGCTCAGTGCTTGAGTGTCGACCTATGAACAAGAAGGTCATGGTTCCGTTCCCGGTCAGGGCACACGCCTGGATTCAGGGCTCAATCCCCAGTGTGGGGCGTGCAGGAGGCAGCTGATCAGTGATCCTCTCTCATCATTGATGTTTCTGTCTCTCTTTGTCTCTCTCTCCCCTTCTCCCTTCCTCTCTGAAATCAATACAAATATATTTATTTAAGAGACAAAACAGGGCTTCTTATCTCTCTGTCCTTTTTTTGTTTGTTTTGGGAGAGGAAGGTATCCAAACCTACAAAGTCTGACAGTTTTGTTTTGCCCCAGTTCTTGGTGCTGAAGCGCCTCAGAACTGGTGTGGCCGGGACTCAGTGATCTGCCCCAGGGCTGCGTCCCAGGGGCCTCTGGGGCTGGGCTTCGTAAGGTGGGATTTATCCCCTCTACCTCGTTGATGAGTTCTCTGCCATCTCGACCCTCCATGGCTTCCTGACCGGGGCCCTGGTTTCTCTCTGGCAAATATACTCATCGTACATGCCTGTAGCCAGATGTGTGTGTATAATCTCCTTCTTCCTTTTTAGCATCGCCCTCCTGGGGTCCGCTTCTCCAGGGTTATCTAAATATTATTTCAGCTTTTGGCTTTAGGTTGTGGCCATTGGTTTGTGGTCACAAAGTTTCCAGGAAATAATGCCTTTCTGCTGGGTGAGGAGAGGGGACAGACATGGACGTGGCCGTGGGACGGTGGTTGTTTGCCAGTGTCTGGGTGGATGCAGACTCTCTGCCCACATGCTTGATCCTCCCCCGCCCCCCCACCACACCCCCCTCCCTAGTCATATCTCAGCTCCAGC